CCCGACCTGTGGATGTGAAGTTGCCCCCCTGCAGGGGACAAGGTCTAAGCTTTACACACAGTACTCAATTCCCAGGAAGAAGGATGAGATGTGCCTGGGCTGAGGATGTAAGGGTCTCCCAAAGGACCTGTCCAGTTGCTATCTACAGTCATCCTATCTACATCAAATGTATCATAGAGCTGGACACGAGTGAAACTGGAGGGCAGGAGGAAGAAAGGATCTTCAATGAATCTGCAACTTAAACAGAGCTCTTCAAAGGAAAGCTATTCAGATCTAAGGTGTTCCTAATATTAATTATCCTGAACATCTCACAGGCTTGGATTCACATGTTACAAAGAACACAAAGCCCTTTAATTTTCCCACCTCTCCATGGCACTAGCAGTGATAAATCAGATATACAGAGAAACCACAGATGACTAACGAACCAGCCCGTTAATGGCGAGCAAAGATCATTTGCCAAGATGACTTATTCAGACATAGTCACATATCATAACCAGCAATATCCCGGAGGCTTAACACAGCAGGCATAGAAAGCAAGAGCCGGGGTGCTCCCTGCCAAGTCTTGGGCACTCCAGGGCGACTCAGCATCCTCCAGATGCCTGCCATCCAGGCATGAAAAGATTTTATTCATGGCTGCCACCTCCCCACTCTCTTCTAGGTAGACTACTTGCACTTAGAAAATTACCGCAACTTCTAAAAGGCCTCTTGGGTCCCAGAGCTGCCATGACCCCTACTCTGACACCCTTAGAATTCCAGGTGCCCTCAGGAAGAAGACCCAGCCTCTGTCGCCAGCAACCTTAACTGGTAGTTTATACATCTCTACTGTAGCCATTCATTTAAGTAACTGGGTTCCCACTAGGTGTCAGACCCTATTCTAGGTGCTTAGGCAGAGCCATAAACAAAATAGTAAACAGGTGGGAGTGAGGGAAAGAGAAGAGTCCTCTATATGCCAGTCCCTTTGTTTAACCAGAAAAACAGGCCCAGTGATAGATAGTTTTCTTTGAGGTCAGAGTCAATGGTGTGACTAAGTCTTGAACCCAGATTGGATTCTTAGCAGGATGGTCACATATGGTGGTGCCTGAGGGGACTGGGCAGAGGGGATAGAGATGAAATTCAACCCACGTTCTGCATATGGACCAGGGGAAGCCCCATTCTAATACTACATTTTCACGGTCTCAGACTTCCAGTTCCCTTTAACAAAAGCTCCCTAAATTGGAAGGGACAACTGAGGTCCCCCAGATCAGCACCCAACCATCATGAGCAGGAAGACCCAGGAGAGTGTGAATCCTTTCACTGAGATGTAACCCTGACAGGCTATACACTCCCAGCGCTTGTTAGGAGTGAGAAAATCTGTTGAAATCGAATCTGTAAGAAATCCACCAATGGCAAAGCTCCCCTATAATTAATAATTATGACAATAATTTCCTATATCATCGTCAGATCTGAAAGGGAAGGCTGCTAGCAAGCTGTTTTACATTCTCGCCAACTCCTTTCCTCTCCATGATCCCAGACTGAGAAGCTGTCACTGTTTGATCCCATCTCTAAAGTCCCATATGGGGGCGCCTGGGTGGCTCAGTCAGTTACGTGTCCAACTCTTGATTTTGGCTCATGTCACGATCTGACGGGTTCTAAGATCGAGCCCATGTCAGAACTTGCTTAAGATTCTCTACCTCTCCCTCTGTCCCCTCCCTGGCTTGCGCACATGCACACATCTTTCTCTCCCTCTAAAAATAAATAAATTAAGATCCATAGGGATGATAGGAACAATTAACTGAATCAACTCTATGAATATCTATTCTTGACAAAGTGCCAGGCATGCGACAGCAAATACTACCACCATCATCAATACCAACACACAACTGTCTCTTCACGGAACTAACTAGCACATTGCAAACAGAGCTGGGAAAGCCCACAGCTAAGGAGTCCCTGACCAGACTGGCAGTCCACTTAGGGGCCATGTCTGGAAGCAAGAGTGTATGTGACACTTCCTTGCTCCATTTTACAGAAGGAAAAATAGGGGCCAGGAATGAGAGCATGTGGCTTGCCCAAAGTCAGACAGTTGACAGTTGAAGCTGAGATTCAAACCCACATTCTCTGGGTCTCCCCTTTCCACCACCTTGTCCTCTACAAGGTTCCATGGCTGCAGAGTGAAAGAGAAATAGTTGGTTCTACTGACAGATTGTTTCCTGCTGTATGTACACCCAGAACGTGTGGCTTCAACCCACCTTATCAGCACAGACCTCATGACCACGTTCATCTCTCAAACCAGAATGTTTATAAATATACTTCATTGATCTAGAGCCTGGTGTCCAGTCTTCATTCACTCCCATTTATGACCCTCTCTGGGTCTCTCTTGATGTTTACTTTCACTTTAAAAACCTCATCTTATAAGACCAGGGCACTTTTTATCTGATGCTAGCTCCCCCTCTGCTCCTGGGGTCTCATCAATCCATGTCTGGAAATAAACAAGCCAGAGAGGGAAGCACCAGGCCCTTTTATGAAAAAAGGTACCTTTCTAAAATGATCTACCCCCGGGCATGCCACAGACAGAAATGTAAATAAGAAGGAAATGAAGACATCCTCCAGCCACAGTCCTACGCATTCCCTATCAGGCAGGACACCAGGGAAGGTAGCTCTGCATTAACAGCTAAACCAAAAACTCTGCCCCGCGTTTTCCAGGTTGTTTGGAGGGGCAGGAGGTCCAAACTCAAGAAGCCTGAAGAGACAACAGGCTTCAAGATATGATAGTGTGTATAGTTCTGCCTCCTCTGTTCTGAGAAGCTTAAGGTCTTCGGGATACCAACCACAGGTACGTGCAAGCAGGCCTCCAGCTACTACCAGGGGTGCCCGGAGATGCCAGTCTGAATGATCCAGACATCTGGCAACCCACACAAGCCTTCCATCATGTTATTTTATGCCCACCTGCAGAGCAGAGTCTCCACTCTCCCACCCCCCATCCCCCAGCTGCTGCAGCCTGTGGCCTCTGCCGACAAGGGAAGCTGTCGAGGTACAGGAGCACAGAATCAAGTCGCCACTAGCTGGCACCCCCTTCCTGCCATGGCTCCCAACCCCAGGCTTTCAGAAATAGGTCACATACCTAAATGCCAGTGCACAAAGTGCCTCTTCTGAAGAGGACTGTAGTTAATTCTTTTTTTTTTTTAATGTTTTATTTATTTCTGAGAGAGAGAGAGAAAGAGAGAGAGAGACAGCATGAGCAGGGAGGGTCAGAGAGAGAGGGAGACACAGAAGCTGAAGACAGGCTCCAGGCTCTGAACTAGCTGTCAGCAGAGCCCAACACAGGGCTCGAACCCACGAACCGTGAGATCATGAGCTGAGCTGAAGTCGGACCTTAACCGACTGAGCCACTGCTGGACGGTAGTTAACTCTTAAGTCTCTGGGGGCCGCTTTGGAAAATCTGATGGCAGCGCTGGACACCCCCACAATAAACTGTATGTGTGCAGTTTGTATAGAACGTCACTGGGGGTTACTGCTCTCCAGGGAGATGTAAAAAGGCAGAAAGGGCTAATGTGCTCAGAGCCGGCTCCAAGAAAGGGAGCTGTGGGTGGTTCAGATAAGTAGTGGACGACACAGTTCTTAACCAAAAAGGGGGAAATGAGGTCCCTTCCTCAGCTCCTGCAAGTTCCAGCCTTCAATCAAACCTCTGAGATTTCAACAAGAATTTGAAAATTAAGAGCGCGCGCGCGCACACACACACACACACACACACACACACAAAACAAGCACTCATCCGTGTGGCTTTCTGGCTTGACATCACAAAATGTCCTGTGACTGCTAGTTAAGATAGTCTCCAAACAGGGCTTATCTCAGAAGGGCTGAGTACCAGCAGAGGTAAGAAGTGTGGGAGAGGTGGACGCTGGGGTGGAGGACAGTCCAGGCACAGAGAAAGAGACAGAGAAGCTCTCCACTGGCCTCTGAGCAGATCCTGGCAGGGCAGGTCCTGACCCTTGCTGCCGGCTCCCCCTGGAAATCAGACCTGCTGGCTCCTTTGCAGCAAACCAAGAAGTCCAGGCGGAAACAGCCCTTTCCTTCTGGGTCCATGGGGAGGGCTAAAAGGAGGCTGGAGGGGAAGCCTCCTCTCATTTCTAGGGAGGAGACCCTGGCCCACTGCTTGCCCATAGCCCCCTCGTGGCCCGGGGGTGTCACTGCAGCCCCCACTGCATTGCTGGGCAAAAACCTCACGCAGGCAGCTCTAACAGGAGTAGAGCGGAGCATTTAGTTACCAGTGGCGGCTTGGCAACAATCTTCAAGCCATGGAGAGGCTGCGTTTGCTTTTGGTTTCTCAAACTGAGACCAAGACTCACACTCCAAGTGATCCTTCTAAACCCTTCCCTCATACAACCCCTACAGGGAACAAGTTCAAGACTTGCTTCATTAAGCCAATAACCTCAGAGCTTCTGTAACATTACCACCACCCTATTGATCACTCCTTCCTGCATCACATGCGATTCTGTACAATTGTTCCCAAGCACAACAGACAGAGTTAGCAAGAATCCACAATCCCTTCTGGGTGGATTACAAAATACTGTCAGGGCACCAAATACCACCCCCAAATCCCAGATTTCCAGGTAGGAGCTCCCACAGGGGTTTAGAGAAAGTCAGGACACACAGAAAGAATGTGGCTCTTGGCCCTGCGCAAGCAGAGAGGGTGTCCGTTAAGGAACCTAACTAGCAACTCCACAAAGGGACAGAGGGGAATCCACCTGGGCTGGGGACTTGACTGGAAGGACCAGAGTCTGGGAATAGGGGAGAGTCGATCCAGTGGTTCGGCTACTACCTGCCAGGGATGGGGATGATTAACTGAACCCAACAGTGGGAAAGTGCCCACTAAGGAGGAGGTGGAAGGAAAGTTTGGGAGGAGAGGGGAGAGTGAGGTGTGCCCGCAGGGCCTAAAGCAGTGGTCCAGCGACCAGAAGGAAGCCAGGGGATCCGGATGCAAGCACAGAGAGTCTTTTCCTTTCCCGGGGAAGGAGAGTCCTTACCTCCTTGATTTTCTCCCGCTGGGCTCGAACCAGGCTCTGGGGCTCCTTGCTCTCATCCGCCCTAGTCCCCAGGACCGGGTGGCGGAGGCGGCTCCGGAACGCATGGAAGTCAAAGCTGAACGGGATGCTCGGCTCCTGGGGTCGCAGGGGCGCGCTGCCGCTGCTCCGGGCCGCCGTGGCCCCCTGGGGTCGCGGGGCCGTGGCCCCCTGGGGCCGCAGGGCCGAGCTGCCACTGCTCCGGGCCGCCGTGGCCATTTCGCGCGTCCCGGTGGGGTGCGTGCGCCGCAGCCATCCTTTCCGGCGGCGGGCACTGGCTTGGCTGCTGGCGTCGTCCTCACCCGGGGCCGGCACGGCGGGGGCCGGGTTGGGAGGCGACTCCTGCTCGCGGACCAGGGGGTGGCCGGCGACTTCGGCCACTACCTCCAGGCCGGGCTGCTGGGTCCGGGGGGCCAGGAAGAGGCGCTTGAGGCGAGAGGAGTTGGGCAGCAGGAAGAGCGCCCCGAAACACAGGGTGACGAGGCCCGAGAGGAAGAGAAGGAAGAGGAACTTCTGCGGCAGCCGCAGCCCCCACGGGGAGGCCGGCACGAAGACGGGCACCTTCCTCATGAGCATCGTGGCCTGGCGCGGGGCTGGGGCCGGTCAGCTCCGGCCGGGCCCCCCAGGCCCTCGGAGGGCAGGCACTGGCCGGCAGGGGGTCCGGCGCGCGGAGGTCGTCGAGGGGCGCCGCCCGGAGTGGGGGTCCCTGAGAGTCTCGCCGCTCCGGGGGCTGCCGCTGAAGTTCCGAGAGTTCGGGGCGAGTCCCCCCACGCCGGGGCAGGGGCGCAAGGGGCCTCGGCGGGGCCCGGGCGCGCCGGGCGACACGGCTCGGGGCCCGGGCCCGCAAGGGTCGGCCGCGGGCCACAGCCTTCTCTCCGGCCGCCGCGCAGCCCCTCCTCGCAAGGGCCGGAGCCCGCGGGGCCCGCTCCTTCCCGCGCTGCGGCCGCCGCCGGGGCCGTCACATGCCGTCCGCGGCGCCCAGGCTGTCCGCGCCGAGGGGCGCCCGCAGGCCTCGTCCCCGCGCCGCGCCGCCCGCAGCCCCTCGGCCCAAAGTTTCAGCCCCAGAAGCAGTTTCCAGAAGGGGTCGGCTCAGGGGGCGAGGCGGTGGCGGCGGGGCTGGCCTGTCAGCGCCGCTGCGAGAGCGCGCCGACCCGGGCCGGGTCGTGACAGCGCCCGGCTCGGCTATCGGGACACGTCCACAACTTTGCTCCGCCGCGGAGCGGGCGCCGGGCAGTGCGAGCGGGCACTTCTGAGTCCGCTGGGCAGGGGGCTTCCTGGGCCCCCCCGGGAGCCGAGGGTCGCCCGAGCCGCGCGGTCCGGCGCCGGGCGCAGTCCGCCGTCCGCGACCAGGCGCGGCGGGGCGGCTGCAGCTGCGCCCGGGAGTGCGGACTCCCGCCCCGCCAACTCGCTAGGGCTCGGCGACCCGCTGGGATCACCTGTTCCCGGCCCCCGCCGGCCACACGGAGCGCGCCGCGCCGGTTGCACCTCTCCCGCTGCAGCTGGCGTCCTCGCAGCGGCCGCTCCAGACGGGCCGCTACCGCCTCAGGCTGAGCCGCCGCCGCCGCCGCCGCTGCCGCCGCCGCTGCCGCCGCCGCCGCCGCCGAGCCTGCGCCCCACACGCGCGCACACCCGCCCGGACGCCTCCGCCGCCGCCGCAGCTCCGGCTTTCACTGAGACAGAGCCCGCGGCCCCGCCTCCCTCCGGGCCACGCCCTCGAGCCACGCCCACTGCGCGCGCCCCGCGGTCCACCTCCGCCGCGGCGCCGCAGCCAGGCCAATGGCCTCGCGTCTGGGGTTGGGAGCGCGGGGCCTAAGCGCGGGTGGGGAGAGGCGAAGGGACTCCAAGCCACGCCCCCTCCCTCAAGTGGCCAGCGCCGCGCACACTCCCCCCATCCCGCCGGCACCAATGGTCCAGCTGCGCGGAGTTGGCGCGGGCGGGGGTGGAGAGCGGCGCGAGGTCATTGGCTGCCTCGGAGGGATCCCCGTTGGGCTGCAGTCGCCCATTGGTTAGTGGCCAGCGTTCTCTGGACTGGGGGGGACCGAGACATCTCCCCCCTTGCCGCCCCCTCCCGCGCCGCTCCTGTTGTCGGTTTGCGGGTGGGGGCAGGAGACCGGGCCAGTCTGAAGGGCTCTGGCCGTCATTCGGTCGCAGCTCTCACTCCTAGGTGCCAGGCCAGGATTGACAGGGAGCTGGGGGCCTGCCCAGGGGTCCCCAGAGCTCCCGCAGGAGCCCTGGTGGTGCTGCCGTGGCAGGCTCTGAGGAAGAGGTGGCCGGGGCCAAGCCGGGGAGCTGTGGCCGCGATTGGGCCAGGCTAAGGCCGTGTTTCCACTGGCCCCGCACACACCACTGCTCTGCCTGCCTTTCCCCACAGCCCCAAGGGCTGGGGACCCTAGCTGGGGGAGGGGAGGGAGACATGGATGCGAGGGCAGGGAAGAGAGAACCCTGGTCGTGTGTAGAGACCACACATATCATGTGACATGCGTACCTAGTTGCCTGCGTGTGTTTACGCGCACATGTGTGCTCCTACGCACAGGTACATACGCTCTCAGCGATAGCCTGTGAGCGAGTACTTGCACACAAGGAATGAACACCAAGTGATTATACCAGAGCACACCTAGACATCTATACATATTAGTCCTAATATCGACATGTGCACACAACGTATCCACTGACGCACAGCAGACAGGTCCAAAACCATGCACATGTACACGCTGCCAGGCATATATTCCCAGACACGTGTGTCTCGACCCCAGGGCCCCTACACCTTCCTCCATGGACTTAGGTCTCTCTGAGCTTTCCCCTCCTGTTAAACCTAACCCGGGGCAAAACAACATTGCGCTGTGTGGGTCTTTCATGCAAAACACTTTATAGAGACTAATAACAGCAGAGGGAGAGACAAATTAAGAGGTGTAATAGGCAAGAGGGAAAATATCTGCTTTCAGCTGCAATTTAAAATGAAATGCAGCGTTGACGAGACAGAAAATACTGCAGGGAGGCCTTTACCGATGGAAGAAGCGGCCCAGGCGGGCTCCCGCCTCGTAAATCTTGCTTCTTCCCTGAGGCCTGCTAGGATGGGCCACTGAGGCTCAGACATCCTTCTCCCTCTGGCAGGCCACTGACAGCAGACCCTCCCCTGATATTTAAATACCCTTGGCATGTAAATGCCTTTTCACTGAAAATAAAAGACTGCTCTGGGTAACAGGTGTAAATATGTTGGTCACTGGAGATAAGTAGTCCCCCCCCAACCCCACAAGTTACACCTAGATTAAATGTAAAATTCTAATTCAGATGCTTCAATCTCTCATGGGTTTGACTGGCAGGACTCAGCTCCCTGGAACCAGCTGTAAACATCAGAGATAAACATGTGAGCCACTTAGATGCAGGAACCCAGAGACCCAGAGACTCGGCCTGGCTTGCCCTCATTTCCAGGGCCCAAGCATGCCATCGATGGGTCCCACCTCGGGGAGAGGCAGGCTTGTCTTTGGAGAACCAGGAGCCCAGCATTCTTTGGAGACACCCCAGGCGCTCTCTCCACGTTGAGAGGGAAAGGGAATCACTGTTCAGTCCCCTGAGGAGGCAGAATCCAGGGGAAGGGGCGGGAAGCAAGGCTGAGTCTTAGGAAGGGAGGTGTGTTTGAACTTGATATTCAATGGGATTGTGACACCTGTCTCAGCCTCTCACACGTTGGTGGCCCAGGGTAGAAAGCAGGGCTACAGCAAAACCAGCACATTCCACAGATCCAGGGTACAAACCCCAGAACACAGAGAAGACAAGTCCATTTCAGATTGATGTCGTGCTAGTGGTTACGCTGAATTGGTGACCTTTTACACTCTCCCTAGAGAGATCACTGAAACCCTGCAGGTCCCCAGCCTCCGTGGACCTCACACACATCGCGGCTCTTTCATCGCTTGCTTTTGCTATTGATATGCTGTCCTACAGCAGACACTTACCTCCTCATGACAGGGACCATGGCTTGCTTACCTCTCTAAGTGCCCTAGGTCTTAATTACAATGCCTCGCACACGCACACTGTGTTTATAGAGTAACCCATGAATAAATGAGTGAGTGAGTGGATGCCCATTTTACAGAGGACAAAACTGAGCCTCAGGGAAGGGAATAATAATGAACTAACATTTTCTATGTGCTAAATACATATTACTTCATTTACTTTTCAGAACACGCTTACGTGGTGGGTTTTATTGATAGCCTCATTTTACAGGCAAGAAGACTAAGGCTAGGGAGAGTTAGGATAGGTTAACAAGTATCTTTCTCAGTTTAATGGAGAAACGCAAATGAGGCTGGTAACAGAAATAAATAGCCCTTTAAAAAATCTATTCTGTCAACAAACGCTTGTTGAAATTAGATGCTAGGTCCTTCACTAATCTCATGTTGGACCCAAATATGAACAAAGCATGGTTCCTGTTATTATTGAGTCACTCATTCAGTAAAGAACTATTTATTGAACACCTACAGTTACCAGGAACCGAGGGGCTGCAGGACACAGCCCTAAATAAGGCAGATATGAAACCTATCTTCAGGAAGCTTCTGGTCTAAAAGGTAACAGGGACCTTTCAGTCCATCAGGAGGGGAACCACAGGGCAGTGGTCTATGTGCTTCAGATCTCGTTCTATCAGGCCCTCATGATGACTCTCTGAAGTAGCCCTTGAGATCCCAACTTTGCAGACAGAGAAACCAAGGCTCAGGGGCGTGGCACGACTTGTCCGAAGTCACACAGGGAATGATTTGCAAATATAAGAGAGAACCAGATTCATCTGCTCCCAGACCCTATGCTCCTTGTGTTAATAATATTAATAATAACTAAGATCAATGGAGCATTCGCTATATGCCAAGCTCTTATAAAAGCGTGTTCCAGAAGCTCACTTATTTGATCCTTACAACCACCCCATGAGACATTTATAGAAGAGGAAACGAAAGCACAGAGATGTTAAAGAATTTGCCCAATGTTCCACATCTGGGAAGTGACAGAGGGGAGATTTGGTCCAATCAGTCAGGCTCCACAGCCCTTTATGTCTTTCAAAGTCTATTGCTCTCTATCTTGTAAAGCCGTGAGAGCAGGTGCTGTAGGGGGTCAGAGCAGCACACTGGCCTCAGGTGAAATTCTCACAGGCTTGTTGGGAGGATTGTATGAGCTCATTCATTCATTCAACATGTACAGATAAAGTGCCTACTATGTTCCAGGCACTATACAAAGCTTTAGGGATGTCATGGTGAGCCAAAATAGACACATTGTTCCCACCTGTGGCCACTTACAGTCTCACGGGAAGAGGGGTTTCAAATAAGCAATCCCCAAATATGTATGTGGGCTGAGAGGGCAGTGAAGAAAGAGAAAAATGCCGCTGTAGGAACATGGAACAATGGATCCAGACCTAAACTGAGGTTGGATGAGAAGTGGTCAGGGAAACTTCCCCCAAGGCTGAACAGCACTACCTAAGCAAAAAGGTACAGCTGCTGGGACAACATGTGCAAAGGCCCTGGGGTGGAGGAAACATGGTACTTTTGAGAACAGAAAAAGTCTAGAGAGTGATGGGGAGAGACAGGAAGTGTTGCTGAATGATTCAGGGCAGGAGTGGGACTGTGTGTAGGCGTAGGTGGGTGGGTGGATTCAGATTAACGTTTTAAAAAGGCTACTCTAGCTGCAGTGTGGGCAACAGAATAGAAGGCAGGAGCAAACAAAGTGGGAGCGTTTGAGAGGGTACTGCAATGGTCTATGTGCCTTAGCCTGGGGAAGTGGGAGCCACCAGGACTGCAGGGTCCAAATTACACCTTAGGATCCAAAATTGATAGGACTCCGAGAATATTCGAAATAGGACATTGATCCAGAGGGAAATATCTGCACTGATTCCCAGGTCTCTAACTTGCCCCGGATGTGGGGGCATTTGCTGAGACGGAAGCAGTGAACCAAGCAATGAGGGATTTCTCTTCTGTTCATCAAGAAGGTGCTGGGCAGTTGGTGCAGAATCTGAATCTCAAGTGGTCAGTAGTTCCATTTAGAATCGAAGACTAGAGATAAAGCCACTTTCGAGCCAAGAGATAATCATCAGGCAGGTTCCTTAATGGCCTCCAGATAAATTGAACCCTGAGCAGGAGAGACACTGATGCCTGGGGGGCCTGCCCAGGGAGAGCACACCCCGTCAGTCCCCAGATAAAGGCCCTGCAGCTGGGCCCACTCCAGCAGGCTACGGGACCTAGTCAATACTTCGCTGTGCAGTGGGGGCTGATTTCAGAGTCGCCGAGCCCTGCACACCTGCCTTCGTGGATCTTAAAAGAAAGTCATGGAAGTTTCCTTTCACCTCATCTTACCTGAGTCCCCCAGCCCTGCAACAGAGGTCAGAAGGAGCAAGAATTCTCAACTGGGAGCAATTTTGCCCCCAGAAACATGTGACAAAGTCTGGAGATAATTTTGGCTATCGCTGCTGGGGGAGGAGGGCTACCGGCATCAAGTGCATTGAGGTCAAGGATGCTATTAAACATCTTACAACGCACGGGGCAGCTCCCTACCACAAAGAATGGTCCAGCCACAAATGTCAACAGCATCAGGGGTGAGAAACCCTATAATGCCAAGGCTCTGAAGTCAGAGAGGCCTGGCTTTGCCACACATTGACTGGT